AGTAGTGATATAGAGGTCGCATGATAAGGTTATTAAACCTAGCTTGGTGTGTTGGCTTATCCAACTTTGTGAATGTGTTGCTTTATATGAGTTTTACATTGACTGATTTGGGTCAGGTATTACCTGTGTTAATGTTGAGAGTTTCAGCTACATTGTACTGTGGCAATTGGTTTTAAAAGGGCAAATTTACTCGTTTTATACTTAATAAAATGACATGTTTTTGGGGATGCATGATCTTCATGATAATCAACAATATTATGTGATATGTAATGTATCAGTTACTGGTTACTACTATAAATAAAGACACTCTTTGCTTGTCCCTCTCACAGGATATGTATGTCCGTCATTCATCTCAAAGTCTCGACCACCTCACAGTATGATGTCATTAATCACGTAATATCTTACGGTGTAGCTGATTGGAGAATAAGTGGCAAGAAAACGAATTTTGTATTAATCATGTATGAGATTGCTTGGCTTGCAGAACCAAGACATCGGTAACGTTATTTGCGTTGGGCATGCTAGTGCAGCGCGTACGTAGTCTGCTCTTTTTTGGTCGGTTCTGGAGACGTGTTTCCATGCAAATGCGTCGCTAAAAAAAAGGGGGGGAGGGGGGTTGATGGGTGCGACATCTCCACCTATCAGGTTATTGTCGGTAAAATTGCGCTGCCGACGGGGGAAATGAAAAAAAGGGGAGGGGAAAATAGAGGGAAAGAAAAAGAAAAGAAAAAAAAAGAAAAGGAAATAAAAAGAAAGAAAAGAAAGGAAAATAAAGAAATCAAAGGAAAGGGAAAAAGGAAAAAAAGAAGAAAAAGAGAGAAAATTGAACGTAAGAAACGGGTGGATGAAAGAGAGGAGAGAGAGGGGGTGAGAGCATGAGAGAGGAGGGGTGGGAGTAAGAGAGAGAGAGAAAGAGAGAGAGAGGGGAGGGGTGTTGGGTGGTGTCAACTCGTCGACGAAGCAAGAAAGATAAACATAGATATGTTGCTCTGTCGGTATACTCGCTCAGATGTTTGAACTCCTGAGATGTCGGCGAAAGAAAAGGAAGAAATGGAGAAAAGGGGGAAAAAAATAAACCAAAGAAACGGGGGGATGAAAGAAAGAATTTAGAAGGGGGTGGGGGGTAAGAGCATGAGAGAGGATGGGGTGATAAGAGAGAGAGAGAGAGAGAGAGAGAGAAGGGGTGGTTGTTGGAAGGAGTCATCTCTTCGATTGACCAAGAAAGATATACGGATAGATATGTTGCTGTGTCGGGTCAGCTGTGTCGGTATTCTCGCTCGATCCTCCTGTACTATATCAATGCAAAAGTTAAACTCGGTGAGATGTATAATGAAGGTCAGTCGGCCGGTGAATAATTTTGTCATACGAATTAATTGTGACTTTTTGTCACCCCGCTGTTACTCTAGTAACTTCTCGAGTTTGCACATTAACCGCAGATTCCCCGTCCGTGTGAACTTGCGAAAAATCCCTAATGTCACAACGCACAACTTGATCTTGAAGTTGATTGAAGTTGAGTGATGAGAAAGTTGACTTACATTAGACTGGTAACTCTAAATGTATACATTTTTTAAAATAAATTTCTTTTTTTTTAAATGACTGTTGTTGTGCAATAAAAATAAAACAAATCTGCTACTGCTTTTGTAGTGAAAATGGATGATCATGATAATGTCAAGCCTAATAGTATTCAAACAGTTTATCTAAAGCTACGGTCGCAACTCAGAGCGGCGACCGACCGATTTGTAGCCCGCTCGGTCGCCGCTAAAATTTAGGAATCGCCCGACGATTTTTTTTTGGGGTCAAGCAGGCCGTAGAGCCCCAGCGGTGACTGGGCACTAGTGCCCTGTCACTTTTCCGCCGGTCGCCGGTCAATTTTGGGTCAAACTGGGCGAAATCGGGGAGCTTATCCACGCGGCGTCGCGGTAGTGACCGATCAATGACCCACCGATTCCCGGGCAGTCTCCCATCGGCTGATTTTAAAGAAATTGCCCGGCGGTCGGCCGGTGATCGGCGTGTCATCTGCGGGTGTCTTGTATGTAAAATACGCTCGGTGTCCGGGCGTTCGCCGCCCGGGCACCGACCTCATTGAGCGTTCACCGTTGAGCGATTTAAGTCAAATATCGAAGCCGGTAGGCTGCCGAGCTGGCGCTGCCTGGACTCCGACCGAGAAAATAAGACGCCTTCCGGCAGCGACCGGGCGGTGACCACTCGGCAAACTTTGTCCTAGCGTCATCGATTCTTGTCCAAAATCGCTCAACGGCGAACACTCAATTATGGAGCTCTCACACTCTGCCGTGTATGCCTACCGTCCACCTGCCGGGCTATTAAAAAAACAACAGAGTCCAGAACGTTGGTTTTTGAGCGAACTTGTCCCCGGCCGCAAAAAAAAAATTCATAAAATTAATCTTTTCACCGTTTCGTTGCCATCTTCTGACCGTTCTCACCGGGCGCATACCGGGTGTTGAACGTGCTTCTACCGTCTTCACCGCCCAGATTGACTTTTGTTGATAATTTTGGCCGTTTCCATACCGGGCCCATACCAGTCACTTAGCGTCCCCTCACCGCTCGGAGCGTCCTGTGAGCGAGTCCCCGGACTGCTGACGTCATGACACGACTGGTCGACTGCCATAAATACCCCGATTTGAACGGCAACGGTCAGTCCGCTCTCCATTTTTCATCACCGTTCTGTAACGGGTTATGAGCGTGTTGTGAACGTGTTCATACAGTGTGACCGTTTTCATAACGTATTCATACCGTCCTCATACCGTTCAACACCGTCCTCTTGCCGCTTACTTGCGGCCGGTGCCAGGCGGCCAAAGTTTTGAACATGCCCAAAACTTTCGCCGGGTCCCACCGGGTGTAAATAAGCGCCAACGCCCTATTAACGTGTTGCCCGCTTTGATAACGAACCACCGTGTGCCCTCGCCGTTCTCCACCGTCCGCAGACATTTTCGCGCACGGTGGCACACGGTAGGCCTACACGGCAGAGTGTGAGAGTCACTTTAGATTGGTGCCCGGCGGGCGGCCGCCGCTCGGTGCCCGGACGAAATTGGCTAAAAACTCGCCGCCCGGCCGCCGAGCAGGCTACTTTTTGGGTTTACAGTAAATCGTCATGACTGATAACATTGCGAGAGCAAGAAGAAATTTTACACATCAAAGAATAAGAATACGTTTTACAGCTCTTCTATTGTATTAACATATTTTGACCTGCCCTAAATAAAATATTTCAGTACAATAGCTGTCAGTGCACAGGTTAAATATTTGAAGGACATGATTAGATATTTTTTTAATTAAACAAAAAGAGAATTAAGCAGATGGAGGATAGATTCTTGCAGAGAAATAATCTTGAATAAAGGTAATAGCATTTGGTATACATGTCAAAACCACTTTATCTCTGGGATTATCTTGTCCTGTTATGAATTGTTTTGTCATGTCTTGTCTTATCATATTATGTCAGTAATGTCCTTTGTGTCCCGTTTTGTAATTCTGTTCTTTTTGGATATTCCGATTATTTACATATTTTAAAAGGGTTTATGAAAATATGTTATTACAAAAACAAGCTATGATTTCCAATAGGTTCCTGTTTCATTTCATAATTTGGAACTTACTTTGTAAAGTGACTTTCTTTATTGTGCGAACAATTGTTTATTCCAATGTTTATTCATCCTACATGTATGTATTAACTTTACTTCTCAGCTTGCCTTTCTCTCCCTCAATTTCCTTTCTCTCTCTGTCTGTCTGTCCGTCTCTCTATTTCCCTATCTCGTCTCTCTATGACCCAGCTGCTTATAAATTATATTCTCTCTCTTGTTGTTGTACATGCAACAATATCCAATGCAATGTATACATCGCAATGGGGTCGAATTCAGAAGATCTTTAAATAGATCTTTAATCCGATCCCCACTCAATTAATGTTACATGACATATGTGCTTTCAACTACTGATTTTACTATGTCCATTTCTTTATATATGCGTTCTGTTTTTATATATTTGGTGAATAAATGAATCAAATTGAATTTAATAAAAATCAATCAATCAATAAAACTCTTTTTGTTTAATAGTTTCCAGTATGTAAATGTAGGTGACCAATAATATGTCACAGGACTGACAGGAGAACCACCAGCAAAGTGTCTCCTTCGATCACGGGTGCTGGTGTTCTCCCCCAGACGGATCGACCACACATCTTCCCAAGGGAATGCCAGACTCTCAAAGCCAGCAACTTGTTAGAGAAGGCAGTGAAGATGACTGGTATTATTTTCTTGGACAAATTTGTTTCAGTTTTTTTTTCTTTCTCTAGTACGTCCATTTATTTTTCTGATGTTAAAGGCATCTGAGATGCATGGCTCTACGTGTTATTATTGTCTGTGATATGGTGTCATATTGGAGCCCTGAAAAAAAAATCAATAGAGTAAATAATCTTTGAGTGACCGGTTTTACCATACTCGTTTTCCCCCGAAGGACTGTAGTGTTATAAAAACCGTTAGCAAAACGAAAAATGAAATTTCGAATTCCAATCATAAATATCTAGATAATCAGACAGGCTTGTAAAAATCTTCGATTGTTGACCTATATCGCTCGACGGTGAACGCTCGATTATGTCGGTGCCCCGCCGATCACCGGCCGGCCGCCGGGCGATTTCTTTAAAATCAGCCGGTGGCCGGTGGGAGACCGCTTGGGAATCGGTGGGTCATCAGTCGCTCTCTGCCAGGACGCCGTCCGGAGGAGCTTCCTGACTTCGCCCAGTTTTTATCTGAAATCGCTGGGGCTCTTCAGCCTGCTGGACTTCTCCAAAAATCGTTTGGCGATTGCCTACATTCCAGCGGGGACCGGACAGGCTACAAATCGGTCGGTCGCCGCTCTGAGTTGTGACCATAGCTTAAGGCTTCCGCTGTATCTCGGGCTTGATGATTGGTCTGCAATAAGTAACACCGCCTGGATTAGAGATCACTGACAAAGTAGACCCACTTCGAAGATGTCTTTGGAGGCACCGAACAATATATATATACCAGTACTCGGACTATCATCATAGTCTCTGACAGCATTGACAAGTTCATCTACAGCCTGTCTCTCCTCGTTACCAAGGTTTTTGACATGGCCATTATACTGCGCCAGCTCATTGAAGGTGATGGAGTCACGATTACCAGTCTCCAGGTAGTCTCGGGGAGAGTAAGTATCGGTTGGGGAGGGTGGATCTGGGGCGAGTTCAAAGGGTGGAGACCGGATAGTTCACGCTAGTTTATTTGTTAGCCAGAGTGTAAACGACGCTTCCCTTGGCTAGATGTTGAAGTCCACCATCTTCCACACGCTTAAAGATAAACTTTAGTACTGGTAATGCGATTGCATTGTGAAAATAAAGGTGTGGAAAGGATCAGAAACAGTTGATCATGTATCATGTAAGTATTGGCGTGCACTGCAAGGTTCTGCAGTCATCAAAATCATAATAAATTGACCGAGTCTTGGTAAAGTAACAAGCACTGTACACAGAAAGCTATATATATATGGGACAACACACATGGTGTCGGGGCTAGTACTACCTTGATTTCATTGTCTTTCTTTGCTCATTACTCAGCCAGTATACATTTTCTTCCAAAATTGTTTGGCACATGTCATTTATTTGTAATCTTGAACATTGTAGTATCGTTTGATTCTGTGAGAATTTTTTTTTTTTTTTTTACCAGAACTGGAGTTTATCTTTAAGGTTTCCATGTACCCCTCCTTTTGATGATTGTACGTTTGATATGTGATTGTGCCTTCGATATCCGTACAGAGGTTTATCAACCAGGTCACCATATGGCACTGAGTCTTGTTTCCCGATGTCCATTTCGTTTTTAGATTTGGTTGATTTTCAGGGTGGACATCCACCATCTTAATCTTCATTCAGACGTCGAATAAAGGACCTTGGTTGTCATTCTTGACATCGACAGCTTCATTAGCCTCTGGATTTGAGGCTTAAGCGTTTTTCGGTTGTGCCATCGCCTCCGGACGTATTTCAGGACGTATTTAAGTAATGAATATAATCTTCATAATCAATATGGTGTTCAATATCTTTGGTTTAGGTTTAAGTGTCTTAGTGGAAATGCCTCCATGTAGAGCCTGGTTTTTGGGGTTGTATGCTTTAAAGATCTAAATAGAACTCAGCTAGTGTTCTCATGATAATGGTTTAAATCACCATCTTTCTAACCATTATCATTATCATCTTCATCAGCAATATTATCACCATCATCAACATTCTCATCATCATCATTCTAACAATTATCATCATTACCATGAGCATCAGCATCATTCTCATCATCATCAACATTATCATCATCAACATTCTCATCATCATCATTCTAACAATTATCATCATTACCATCTTCATCAGCATCATTATCACCAACATCAACATTCTCATCATCATCATTCTAACCATGTTCATCATTATCATCTTGATCAGCATCATTATCACCATCATCAACATTCTCATCATCATCATCATTCTAACCATTATCATCATTCTCATCAGCAGCAGCATCAAAATCATTATCACCATCATCAACATCGACAACATCATCAATCTCATAATTATGATCATCATCATTATTCTTATCATCATCACTTCATCATTATCATGATATTCCTTTTTATTATCATCATCATTAACATCATCAACATTCTAATCACTATCATTATCATCATCACCATCGTCATCACCAGTTTTCTCAAAATGACATACTATGCAATTGTGTACCCTTACTTTCCTTATGCTATCATTGTCTGGGGGCAATGCTGCTTTAATTCATCAAGATAGATTGTTTAAATTACAAAAACGTGCAATAACAACTATTAATCATTCTCCTTTTCTTGCCAATACCAATTAAATATTTTACTCCTTAAACATGTTACAATAAAGGGATGTATATTTATTACGAGTAGGTGATTTCAAGCATTTATATCATAAAATTTTTCGTGATTCCATTCTCAAATTTTGTATATCAAACTGTAATATTCATAGTTATAGTAATATAAATGCTCAATTTTTTTCATTTGCCATTGATTCGTACAGTACTCAACCAAAAACGAATTATTTTATAGGGCCGTTCCGTGGATCGCTCTTCTTCGTTACATACATAATTCTGCTAGTGTAAATGAATTAAAACGTAGGTATAAACATTTATTTTGGGTAAATTGCATTAATCATTTGAAATCAAGAAATGTATGGTTTGTTTGTATTTATGTGTTTTATTTTTTTTATTCGTGTCTTGAATAATGTTCATTAACGAATATATTTCATATTTTTTATTATCGAAAATGGGTCACCCTTTATAAGGATTATATATCCTTTCAGGTTGCAGCCTATTAAGTTTGTTTTATGTGCTAGTCCAATATGTTCTTCATGTGTATTTTATGTAATATATCTGATTGTTACATGATTGTAATGCTTTTTTGTAAACTGAATTACATAAAATTGAATGGAATCGTTTTAAAAAGAATCCCTCTTTTCCAGTTACTCTTGCAAATGTGAGCGTTATGTGAGATTATTTTTGTATTGCTTTCAAAACGGAATTAAAAAAAAGAAGAATTAATCTGTTGATGTTGTTCTCAGTAAAATGAAGATACGTAAAATTGCTGACATTTATATTGTGTTTTTCTAAAGCTTCTAATTATTTTTATTTTAGGGAAGTACAATCTAAAAATGAGCACCCTCTTCTTTTTTGTGTGCAATCTCCGAAACATTCTGGTTCTCACAAATCAGGTTTGGTGATGGTAGACGTCTTTCTCCTGGTGTTTTGGACGAAGCCGTTGAGGTGATAGCCATCTCCTGGTATGTCCTGTCTCCCTCGGGTCTGGGTTGTAGGTCCATGTAAGGATCTGGTTCGTTCTCGCCCGTCCTGGTTCGTACTTTGCGTCTGTTTCAGACAAAATAATCACATGAATAAATCCATATTAATCCACATTCACCACTCTCCATCCAAGTATTAAATGGGTACCCGGTATGATGCATACGCCGGTGCATACGTCTTTGTAGTTTCATTGCTCAGCATTAAAAAAGCGCTGAAATCCTCCCCAGTGGATGGAAAAGGTGGATACATTGTGAGCGGGCAAGCCTGAATCTTAGTACCGGGGTGAAGCGCTTTGAAACATCGTCGATGTATTCTATACCCGATCATTTTTAGGTGATTTGCCGTGTAGCGTGGCAGAGCACCTATTGATTTCGTCAGAATCTATCCTTTGCCCCCTTTTTTGGTTACCCTTTCTTTCTGTATGGATTTCGTTAGCTCCATACCTAATGAATGACATGTGCCTATGCATTATAATTGATCCTTACGAAGATAACTTTTTCTTTATTACTGATGCGTGACGTCATCTAGGCGACATTTTGTTAATTTCTATTATTGACCATATTTCCGTCATACAATATCATTTCTGAAGGATATTCCATACGCATAAACTTGACGTCATGGATAAAATTTTGTCAGGTCACACCCTTTGGTCAAACCCATGTCCGTGAGCGCATCAAGACGGGCGCGTACGCGTGCGTCGAAATTTGAAATTGGTCAACAATGCTTATTGGACCAATTTACTACACTTTTCAGACCTTTATGTAACATTCCAAAATTGTGCGAGCGCGGATTCATATGCGCGTGTTTTACGTGTGCCGTCCGTACTGAATATATTAATCTAACTTGTTCAAATGTTGCTGAGACTATTTTTTGCAAATTCAATTTTTTTTTTAGCCATTATTGACCTCAATTTAGCTTTTATACTTTCCTTAACCCTAAAAAGGCCGGGCTATTTGAGTTCTTAGTATGGCGGGGGGGGGGGGGCATTATGGTTCCTCATGAAGGTATTACAAAGTTTTGGTATGGGGTCATGATTTTGGTTCAAATTAACATATTGGAAGCATATACGTTCCTACAATATACATTGATCGTTGTCGCGGTTGAATTCGAGTTTAAAGTTATGAAATTATAAATAATAAACTCTTTATGTTGTATAGCTCCCTCTCAAGGTCAAGATATTGATTTAACTATGAAACAATGTTTCTTGACTAAAATCGACCGATTAGCTATTCCCGTTTGGAAATTATATATCCCAACTACATATTCTGAGATTTTCACGGTCGCAGCTACCATTGTACGGCCATAGGAGCTATTTGAAATTTATTAAAATTTACCGGGAGCACCGGTAGAAAATTTTATATTCAATTTTCTCGAAAACAGAAGTGTTTTAGGGGCTAATCCGTGAAAATTAGCACGCATGTCAATTGAAGTGTATAAAATACTATGATAATTTGAATTTTGTGTAAAATTCACTTATTTGCATATTTATGGTAATTTATGCAAATATGGTCATAAATCACATTTTTACCCATAAATCATATATTATTCATATTTAAGCATTCTTTTTTCACTACATATATTCATTAAACAATTTGAAATAATAGGACAAAACATTTGGAAGAGCCAGCTTATTCCTTTATATGCTATCTTTTGTTTTGATAATTTCTTATGTATTTCATTGTTTTTTTAAACTTAGTATTTTATTGTTTTTGTTGTTTTATTTCATTTCTAACTACAATTCAACTGTTTTGACTCCCAAAACAACCACCTAAACTTTAAACAAGACCCAATAACCAATGTTCGATTTATTTTTAGGAAAAATGACATTTCAATATGTTTTGTACACAAGGGGGGGGGGCATAATGGCCCCAGCGTTACTAGGGTTAAACACCACAATTAAAGATCATAATAAAAACTCAGTTAATGTCTTCTTGATTTTGGTCAAAAGCCCCATCATCAACATGATAATAATAATAATACATTTATAAAGCGCAGCTTTAATACAAAATATATATCATCATCATTAACACATCGGCATCATTCTCATCATTATTATTCTCATTATAAACATTACCATCATCATTATCATTATTATCATTATCACCATTATCATCATCAAAATCATCGTCATTATCATCATCACCAACATTATCATCATCATTATCATTCTGATCATCATCATCATCATCATCGTCATAATCATGATCGTCATCAACATTCTAAAAACTATCATCTTCATCATCATCATCATCATTATCATCATGGTCAATATCATCATTTAAATCACTATCAAAATCTTCGTCAGGATCATTATCACCAACTTCATGACCATCATCATTATCATCATCATCAACATCATCATCCCCATCATCAACATCATCACCTCATCATCATCATCATCATCATCGTCTTCATCATCAACATCATTATTTACATCATCATCCCCATCATCATCAACATTATAATTACTATCATCATCATTATCATCATCATTAATACCATCACCATCATCATCAACAACATCATCATTCAAATCGCTACCATCATCATCATCATCATTATTCTCGTCATCATCAATATTTTCACCTCCATCATCATCATCAACATCATCATCGACATCATTCTAATCATCATCATCATTCTCATTCTCATCATTATCATCACCGTCATCATTACCATCATCATTCAAATCACTTTCATTATCATCAACATCATCGTTCTCAACATCATCATCATCATCATCATCATCACCACCAACATCAATATCATCATCACCATCATGATCCTCATCATCAACATGATTATAGAAACTATCATCATCGTTTCATCATAATCATCATTATCAATCTCATCATTAATCATTATTAATAAGAGAAAAAACGAAACCGACAATTATCGATGTTTAATCATAATTTAATCAATATTATAATTAATAAATGACACACATTTGCAAAGTTTAGATCCTCTTCTGTCATTCGATGCAACTCATATGATGCATATTTAACGCATGAGTGATTAAAAACAATTTGAAGAGAGGGTATCAAAAAAGTCATTTGGCGGGCGGTATCTGAATTTCAAAGGGAAAATCACATTTCTAGAAAGTTCATTTTTGCCGTTTCATATGACACCTCAATCAGGAAAAATGAGCCAGGAATAACAAAGTTTTTTTTTTGTTTTTAAAGTGATGCTTGCATTTCCATAATTTAATTAAACAAAATGGTTTTCACTGGTTGCCTGCCGTAGCAACAAACAGAGTTGACAAAAGACTTAACTCCGTTTAGTTCACGATCAGCCATGTTTCAAGTCTATCGTCTATCTTGTGCATGGCTGATTGTCAACGAAACGGAGTTAAGTCCTTGTCAACTCTGTTTGTTGCGTCAAGTATTTTGTCTTCTTTGTCCATGGCTGATTTTGAGCCTAATTGGACAATATCACTCTGGATAGGTAAAGAAATTGGTTAGATACATTTATTAACCTTACGCTGGGCAATATATTACCCCCCCCCCCCCCCCCCCACTCCGTGAACGGAGGGATACCATGCGTGTTCCTAAACTCTCCGGCTCGTAACAAAAAAAAAGGTCGACCCGTATTGACTTTACACACCGGACTTTTGCTGAAAAGGGAGGGGGTGTGCTGAAAAAGGCTCGTATAACAAAAGAAAAAGGTCGACCCGTATTGACTTTACACACCGGACTTTTGCTGAAAGGGGGGGGGGGTCGCTTGGAACACGCATATGCGTACCCTAAATAGCACTGAGTGGGGGGGGGGGCGGGTATATTACCTAATATTTTTAAGACAACTAATTTTGGCATGCAGGACAAAATTGAACAAAATATGGCAATATTTAAGGAGCAGTATTTTTAATAGCATTTGGCATGTTGAATGTCTTACTCCAGAAGATCTATTTTGTAGGTTACTATTTTTATCTCAATGTGTAAGCGTATGTTGCGTAAGTATTAACAAATTTACCTTTGTCTTTGCGGAATTGTTTAATCATATACCCTGCCCTCTGTTAAATGTAACATTTTTGTCGTAGAAGTTGAGCCCCCTCCCACTCTCAATAAAGAAAGAAACAATAATGTGTTAATGATTTATTCCATAATAGAATATGATAAATTATTCATATACAAGGAGTGTTAGTCTGGAAATAAAAAAGTGTTGGTGAGCAACAGTTAACGAAAAAAATATATCACATTTTCGAAGGAAAGAAGTATTTTCTTTTATGACAGTTTGTTGTTTCAAGAGTTTCTTTTATTGATGTGTTGGTTGATGTACTTACCTTCGCTGGTAGCAAAACAGCATTAGCAGAACAGATATGACGATGAATTGCAAAACAATAACAGAAGCTAACACAGGAATAAGCCATGGCATACACTGTCTAACAGCATATGGTGTGGAAGCTGGAAAGAATGGAGAGACAAGGAAGATTGGTTAGAACACTGATTAATTTGAGTGTCTTGTCTACATGTTGGCTTTAAGAGAAAGGATATTGAAAGATAAAAACTTGGGATGGCACTATACTATGTTGGAAACTGAAATAGTAGTCAAATGAATATTTCATCCATCCCAAACGAGGCCATACGTGAGTTCGAGCCCATGCACGAAACTGATGTCAATGAGCAAGGAGTTTTACCTACATAGCTCCTTCCCCCCCCCCCCCCCCAGGTGTTAACTGGGTACCCGGTTGGATGCGAATGTGTTATATTTTTGTTCACTCTCTACAGTACGATCCTCATTTTCCTCTAGTAAATAGAACAATTATCAAGATACAAAAAATGATGGGCAGAGTTTGTTTCACTTGCGTTATATAAAATCCCTTAAAGATAAAGGTGAGTTCTGGTAAAAAAAAAAAAATGAATTCTCACAGAATCAAACGAAAATTACACTGGATGTTCAAGATTACAAATAAAAGTTATTTGCCAAACAATTTTGGTAGAAAATGTATACTGGCTAAGTAATAAGCATGGAAAGATTAGGAAATCAAGGTTAGTAGCCCCGGCACCATTTGTGTAGTTCCATATACATCTTTCTGTGTACAGTGCTCGTTACTTTACCAAGAGTGGGCCAAATTTATCATGATTTTGATGACTCCAGAACTCTGCAGTACACACCAATGCTTACATGCTACATGATCAAATTTTTCTGATCCATTACACACTTTTTCTTTCACAATGCACTCGGATGACCAGAACTCACCATTATCCTTAACTTGCACGAGGAAATACAAAATGTCTTCTACATCAATTGAAAGCATCCCCCGTCTTTGATGAAAATACATGACATTCGAGTAGGGGCTAATTGGATAATTAGTTCTCGATTAGAGCTCGATTATGTTATTTGTATTCATTGACAAGGTACCTACTGATATTAGATATATTGGATGCTCTGTTTTAAATACAGTCAAGCCTGCGGAATAATGAGTTATCTACTGCTACTTGTCCTAAATCAAAAGTGTGGCGAACGGTAGCGGCCGGAGGCTGCGCTATATCCAATCCTCGATTGCTACATCAAGATTTTTACTTGGCTTTTGGTCTATATCAGATAGAGTGCTGTTTGTTGAGTTGAAGGGTCAACCTTTCAATATGTATACTAGTCAGGTTTACGCACCTATACTACGGCTCATTCAGAGGAAGATGTAGACAAATTCTATGAGGATTTGGTGAAGGCCATGAAGCATTGTAAGTCACGGGTAATAACTTTCACCACGGCTGATAGCACATTAGGACCTCATGGACTTTGAACCAGTACTGAAAGAGTATAGAGATAAATTACAAGTCACCATTTACACAAACATGTTTTTTCAAAATCCGAGACGACTGAACATGAACAGGACATTCCGAAATTCCATACGACAAGCTAAAGGATATCACGGAGCTGAATGCCAAATCGACCATGTTCTCCTCATCAGTCACATGCATGTCATGCTAAGAAAGTTGAAGAAGACGGAGGCAAGCCAGCGATTAGAACTTGACTTTTTAATATTTGCTGCGCCTAGAAACAAAGTACGAGGCGCGTTATAAATGTGAGCTATTATTATTATTATTATTATTATTATTATTATTATTATTATTATTATTATTAAAGAGAGGGCAAAGAAGTGACGGAAAAGTACAGAGTGGCAGTGCAAAATGGGTTTAACATGTTACAGGTGGAGGCAGGAAATGAGTCTCAATGACCAAGGTTTTCTGAAGCTGTCTCCACTGTAGCTTATAATACTTTTCAGAAAAAGAACAGGAAGAAGAAAAAGAAATTGATAACCTCCAAAATATTTAGATTGATGGGGAAGGAGCGAGAGGAGAAACAGAATGGAGAGGTATATGCATATCTAGATAAACAAAACCGAAAAAAGTGTAACAAAGCCAAAGACAACTGGCTAAATAAGCAGTGTAATTAAATAGAGAGTAAGAAATGAGCCTCAAACATTCATGCACAAACTCGAGAAATATTAACAGAAAAAGCGGTTCGCAGCTTTTTATATCAAACGCCCTCTAACGCCCATTGCACACGAGGCGTCAATGTAATGGCGTAGGACTGCGTCAGTAATTAGTGCTGTCCTTGATGTGCTACGTGAACGTGAGATCATCATGATCATTGAGATAAGCATTTAGAAAAATGAACAGGGCAACATTGTGTTAAATTCAAAAGCGTAAATGCACATTAGTTGTATAGTAAGCAAATATTAATCGACTACGAGGGTAATGATACAAACTATCATCGCCGAGGTGATCTCGGCGGTGATAGGTTGTATCCATTGCCTGAGTAAAGGAGGTTAATATTTGTTTAATATCCCACATCGGCAATAAGGTCTATTTAAAGTGAATTTTACATAGTCAAAAGAACTGATTCTGCAGACAGTTTAGCTCCAGCTAGATTTTACAAAGCGCAACATGCATACAATGTAACAAAGTCGATGCGCGCTCATTTGACATTGACATTGACATTTCACGTAACTTACTTTGCTACGCGTATTCAATGGCATGTGGTTGCTGTAGCAAAGAATTCCATTACAAAAGTCCTATCGCAGGTAGATAGTACTTATCTATCTTTTTTCATGTGACCTCGTTTAGATCAATCAGATTGCAAGATTCTTAGTATGCGGGATATAATCTTGATTAGCGCAGATAATAACGCAATCAAAATGACGCAGGGTGTCCGATGGGCGTAATGCTTACATGGGTTCGGAGTAATGATGATAGAGGCTGTAGTCATTACAGGGTCGGTGGCTTCATCTGTGGAAGGAGGAGTGGTCGGTGGCACAACGAGTGAAGTCGTGACCTCATCTGGAGAAGTTGCTGTAGAGTTTGGATCTGGTGAAGCTGGTGAAACTGGTGATGATGAAGAGGATGAGGATGATGAGGATGATGATAATAAATAACAATGTTTATGATAATATAATGATAATAAGAATTGCCAGTTTAATGACGTGCACCTGGAGAGTGGGGACGGGAGGGGAGAGTGATTAAAGTGGATTAATGTATTGTCAATGGACGTTAGCTCCTACCTGGGATTCAAACCAACCCCAACCCTTGGATTGAAGGTCATATGAATGAACCACTTGTTGATTAGAATAATTCTCTGTACTTTAAACAAAATTAAATGATAACGTCTTTACTAATTTAGGCGATTGAAGGGAGGGAGACTCGCTGGATAGAGCGAATGCATTAGGGATCTAATCCTGTGTTTCAAGACCAATTATAAAGGCTAATATGCCATTCACTCGGAAGGGACTAAAAATGAAGGTCATTTGGAATTATCTTTAGAAATCACTTTCTTCATATTAACTGAAGGAAAACGATAAATCTAGTAAGAATTTTTTTTTTTTTTGTCAAAGCGTTAAAAACTCCAAACGTTGATTTTTTTCCCGGCAATAAAAGGCTAACTCACTGGTAAATGTGATAATGTATCCCGATGCTCCAGCCGAGTTCGCAGCCCTCGTCAACGTCGCAGTCAAAACCAGTGCCGTATCTGGTAGCCCAGACAGCATGGTTTCACCAGATTCTATAGGGCTGATGGTCATACCTCCTACCTCCACACTCAGTGTGTCTCCAGGAGCTAGGTCGAAAGCCAGGATTCGAATCAAGAGCATCCCTGATGACGCAGTGACATCAGTACTGGAGGTGAGGTTGTCTGGTTGGGATGTATCAGTACTTGAAAGGACGTAATTACCAGGAAACCATGGTGATGAGACGTAGCCATCGCCAACAGACACTAGATGATTTGAAATGAAAATGGAAGTTTAAATAAAATAAAAATGAAACACCATACAAGATTATTAATTGTCAGACTGTCAGGTTCAGCTTAAATAGATCTTTCATTAAACCTTTGTAATCAGAAATTGTTTTGAATGTGTGAGATCTGTTGGGAATCAAAAGGGCATTAACTCTATCTAGAGTGATATCAGTTAACACCCTTCTAACTATCAAAAGACGACTGCTATGACAATACGAACAGTTAAATAGGTTTTTGATAAGAACAGTTATTTGAAAGAAGATGACAAAAATTGTGAAACCAAATCCGAGGTTTTAAAACTGTAGACCTAAGCCTGGAATGTTAAATATTCGTTAAATTTGGTATGTGTGTGTGCGTGTGTGCGTGTGTGTGTGTAATTGGGTTTTTACAGACGTGTATCAATCAGATATGATTATTTACTTCAGGAGACCGACCTTTATTCGTCACCATCTGAAAGATATTATCTTCATTATTGTTTTAGCCTACAATTCAGACATTTTATTTATTATAATTATTTCTTTATTTTGAGATATGAAAACACTCACCAGAATAAACAGATAGGACTTCCATGTTGACTTCAGTGTCACCACATAACTGAGCAGAGTTACCTGGGCATGGCGTTCTACACATAGTGTTATCAACAGGTTGGGCTGAAGGATTTACCTGGTCATCACAACTACATATGGTTCCATATAAACCAGCGAACATAAAATTTATTGAACAGCTCTGTAAGCAAGTCTCAATAGTATTTGACGTGAAAGTAATTGCTGAGTTTGATACAGGAATGTCTTCAAAGCGGTAGCACCCTCGGTAATTTGGCGCGATCCCCACGTTTAAGCCTAAAAAAGAGCAAAAATAAATATGGATTACGTTCAGACAAATTAAGACTTTAGGTTTCTGTTAAAAATAGGACTACTACTGCTCTCAAGTAGAATAAATAATTAATGCATAGTATCATTAAATGAAATGTAATCACTTCAAGATTCAGAATTCTCACGTACAATTATAATTTTAAACTCGGCCTCTGGTCTCAGTAAAATATAACATCAATCGGGAAAATGTTGAATATGTCGGTTCATATATTTTGTTGTATTGAACTTCATATAGCATTTATTATTTCGTATACTAGTAATACAATAATAAGGAATAATAACAAAGTGATACGTTTTTCTTTTTTTTCCGAGACGGGTAAACAGGATTTAACCTTTTTTGAGTATCATTGTGTTGGAATAAATATTCGCCTATGTTTATGGAGTTAATCATACAAATAATTTTGGTCTACTCGGGGTAAATATTTCTCTCCTTTAAAGAAACCTAAAGAGTAAAAAAAAAGAAGAAAAAAAGAAGACATACATACAAAATAATTATGTTGACACAGGTCGATTATCAGTTTCGATATGTAGATCATCGAGGAAATAAAAGGTAATTTCATGAGGCTTGAAGACTTACCTGAGCACCTAACACCTACATCGTTGTTATGAGGGCACGTAGAGGTCTGTCCCCACTGGCCGTCTGTAACACACTCGTTCAGACGTCGATCGGATGATTCACACTGTACGTCAGCTAACCAGATACGTTGTGTTGGAATGCCAGGCCCGAAACTTGGACTACTCAAAGAAACTTGAAAACCTATATTAAACATGAAAAATGGACATTTCACAATACGAAAAACCACTGTTCAGTCTAAATTGGAGTCCTGTGTAAAACAACCTTTGTGCCAATAAGGGTGTTCATTCCACAAAATGGAAATAAACAAAGCACAATAGAAAAATGTTGGAATACCCGGCCTGAATGAGTTCATAATTTAGGAGCCCTGGTTTAATATTGACACATGCTTCTGACAGTCTATAATTCCTTTACTTCCAAAAACATGGAATATCGACTCAATACTTTTGTGCTTAATTACAAAGACAATTCAACATCAATGAAAGACAAATTTATAAAATAACCGAGACATACAGTAATACATGTGTGTAATTTAAGGATGATGGGTTAGAAATGTAATGGTTGTCTGAGGCCCAGTCTAACACAATATCATTTGACTATATCTGTAATTAAATGTACTATTTAACATCATTTCAGCTACGACGAACTACCCATTCCAAATGATGTTGCACGAATAATGATTCAGAATTTTTTTTTAAAACATTGTGATATAGTTATTTATTTATTTATATATTCATGTCTTCTTTTAAAAGCAGTGTAGGTCTTTCTGTTAAAAACTGCTTTACAATGGAGCCCTGCTGCAACATACAAACAAATGAGCAACGACAACAACAACAAAAGAAGAAAAACGTTACCATGAAATACTAGAAATATCACTGTACAAATAAAAGGTGACATATATTAACAATAACATTGCAAGAATTATAAAAGTAAGAAAAAAAACTGAACAGGAAATAAAGGATGACAACCATGTCATTACAACACATTTATAACTACTTGACATTTGTTTTAAAGATTGAAAGAAAGAAGAACAAATAGGATGAGAAGATGAAGAAGAAAAAGGTTAAAGAAGAAAAAAGGAGAAGAGAAAAAAAAAAGGTAAAAGAAGAAGAAGATTGAAGAATATTAATATGAAGAAATTGAGCTATAGTAGTCGAGACTCACGTCCTTTTAGTCACAGTCACAGTCTCATATTTCAGAGTATTTTCAGTCTCTAATTTTCAGAGTAGTTTCAGAGAAAGTGATTTCTAGGAAGTTGTGTTGGTTTCCTTATTTTGTCTGGTCCAAAAGCAAATATATTGTATTAAAAAGAAAATATATTTTATATTTTTATTTACATATATTTACATTATTGCTTCTCAATTACTATTGTTCAGCCTATTGGATTGTAAACATGACGAGTTTTCATACAAACCTAGCTGTCTGCAGACTACACCACTGTCTGTACTATCCCATCCTCGGTTGCATATCGTACCCCAACGGTTATCATAATACACCTCTACCCTTCCTTCCAGAGTGGAACTACCATCAACCAGTCGTACATCACCTACAGAAAGAAAGACAAAATATGTAAATAGTTTTAAACACTACCAATCAGCCCTCTATCGGAAGAATAAGGAAATTAACTCAGAACAATGTAATTCCCTCTCGAACATCTCTCGTCAGTAGACTAAGTTTGATTCTAAGTATTCATTGGTATAATAATGATGTGGTCTTATCAATAACCGAGGTAGTCACTCTAGTGTTACTATACTGCTCCTTCTACGAACCCTGCAATTATTATGAACCCAGCATTGCCAGATACGCATTTGGGTCGAGAGGTCAGATATGGGTTGAACATCTTGTCTCAGGAGGTAATCACACAGCGAGGATCGAACACACGACCTCGGGTGTTGTGTTCATTTAATAGGACATTTTCGTAATCTAACCAAATTCGTGCATATGCCTTTGTGAAGGGCCTCTATAAGAATTATTTTGTTCACCAATTACGAGAAATTGTATATCGCAATATTCACAATGCAAATTGTGTGTATTTAGTTGTTGCTAGGTAGGACAGTACTTATGGCTTGTACTACATAGCAAAACCTAATGTAGCCTATGCAATTTGCATTCTGACTATTGAAATATAATTATTCGTATCAGGTGAATGAAATAATTCATATCGTGACACTTATGTATCAATTCGGTTACATTGCGAAAATGGCCTATTCGGTGATTATTTACTTCATGAAGGCTGGACGTAAATGCATACAATTGGTGGAGCGACACCTTGTTTGATTTGAAGGAAACAAATCCAGTTCAGTATGACATCTGAGTTGAGTTATCTCTCCATCATAGCAAAAATAACCAATAACTTAAAGTGAAGAAAATACAGGCATAAATGTGGGGGTCGGACTTACATCAGAAAAAACTGTTTTCGGACCTTTCAACTTAAAGAGAAGGTTGAGTTATGGAGAGAGGTGAAAAATAATTTGTGAGCGTTTTTATTTTTATTATGCAAATATGGAAGAATATATAAGAAAAAAATGTTACCTGAAAAGCATAGCTCTTCAAATGCCACCATATTCTAAATATGACATGAAACAGCTTAAAAATGAGGACCACATTTTTTATGCCACACGTTTGTGTAGTCCATATTCATCTTTCTGTATACAGTGCTTGTCAGTGGCGGATCCAGGGGGGGGGGCCCGGGGGGCCCGGCCCCCCCCCCCCTTGAGAAAATAATCATGCAAAATCACGCGATTTTGTGCTCACTACCCCCCCCCCCCCCCACTGAGCGACTTTTCGGCTGACTGAGTCGTTGCGATTTTTTTTGGGACTCCAAAAAAAAAAAAAAAAATGTCTGCTTACCCCCCTCCCCCCCCCCCCCCCATGTGCTTCGATTAGATTCGATCTGTTTTCAACTTTAGTAGATTTAGGTCGGTTATTACTTCTCTTAAAAATCTACAGATACATGTACTTACAGACTAAAGGCTAAAGACTGTCTGTTACGGCTACTTACACATACACATCAAAGCCCAAAGACATACAATATGAATAACTTTATTAGTACACACCTAGTAATTTTGTTTTCAAGAACGTAAAAATATAATCTTCTAATGATATTTCTGATTTACATGTGAAATAATAATAAGTCGAGAGCTTGATAGGTTTTGAAGCTCACCTGAATTTACTAATGGTATTTGAATCTATGGAATTCAGGTTTAGAATAACATAAATGATTAACAGAATTTCATGGATCAATCACTACAGAGAAACAAATAAACTGTAATGCTTTAGCTGTCGAATGAGACCATATATATTACATTTCGAAATTTTGACCTTTTACTTATTTATGGAATTGCTCAAATCTATATTTCACAGTATAGTATACCAACATGAAAATTTGACTTTTGTATAGTCTGTTTTAAGGAAATACACGATATAGATGACTTATGTAAAGTATTATCAAGAATATTTAACACTGTCACTGTAGAGTCAAATTGAACATTTCCATTTCTTTCACGCCTATTACTTGATTGAAATTTCAAAAGATCAAATGAGACATTTTACAAAATATATTAGTTCATTGATGTAACTTTTTAATCTATTGAAGTTTTACACTGCAAAAAGGAATTGGATATTTTTTTACTCATGTTAGGTAAAAAAAAAAAAAAAAAAAAAAAAAAACATATAGGGAGCATGCATGTTTGTAACAGTTTACCTAACATTGCGGGTTCAATCTTACCCGATGTTGGCTATATTTTACCCACTGTTGGGTTAAATCTTTTCAAGAAAACAAACAAAATCCCTTTTTTAATCCAACGTGAGTACAATTGTCTCCAACTCAATAATATAGTGTTCTCTTATTTCAAGTAGCTATTATTTATACACGTCAATTTACCAAAGGCGTGGCATTCATATAGTTTACTACAAGTCTTGAATGTACCGTATATATTGCTATAATGCTATACTTTTACCTGGAGATTGTCCTAATATTCCCGATCCTGTTGAAACTAATAAGATGACCTGAGTCCAGAATAAAATCAGAGAATCCATGGTAGATAATCAATTGAAATCCATTCACACAATCATGGTAATAGTTTTAACATTGAGTAGTCCTATCCACGCTCTGAGCAAGGGCGAGTATACAACTAACGTACAGGAAACTATGGGTG